CCAACTGATAAGTGGCCAAAGGATATGAACAGGCAGTTTTCAGAGGAAGAAACTAAAGCTATCTGTAGTCATATGAAAAAATGTTCTAAATCGCTATTGATAAGAGAAATGCAAATCAAAACAACTCTGTGATACCACATCACACCTATGGGATTGGCCAACATGACAAAACAGGAAAATGATAAATGTTGGAGAAGATGTGGGAAAATTGGAACATTAATGCATTGTTGGTGGAATTGTGAAATGATCCAACCATTTTGGAGAGTAGTTTAGAACTATGCCCAAAGGGCTATAAAAATGTGCATACCCTTTGAGCAATACCACTTCTAAGTCTGTGTCCCAAAGGGATCATACAATGGGAAAAGGACCCACATGCACAAAAATATTTATTTTTTTTGTGGTGATAAAGAATTGGAAATTGAGAGGATCCCTATCAATTGGGGAATGGCTGAACAAGTTGTGGTCCATGAATGCAATGGAATACTATTGTGCTATAAGAAATGATGAGCAGACACACTTCAAAAAAACCTGGAAAGACATGAGCTGATACAGAGTGAAATGAGCAGAACCAGGAGAACATTGTACATAGTAACAGCCAAGTTGTACCATGACTAACTTGATGGACTTGGCTCTTCACAAAAATGCAAGAATGGAAGACAACTCCAAAAGACTCACAATGGAAATTTCGATCCACATCCAGAGAAAGAACTATGGAGTCTGGTTTTTTTTTTCCCCTTAGGCAATTGGGATTAAGTGACTTGCCCAGGGTCACACAGCTAGTAAGTGTCAAGTGCTTGGTCTGAGGCCTCAGGTGCTCTATCCACTGCCCACCTAGCTGCCCCTATGCAGTGTAGATGGAAGCATACTATTTGCTCTCCTTTTCCTTTGTTGTTTTGTTTTGTTGCTTCATTCTCATGGTTCCTCCCATTAGTTCTAATTGTTCTTTACATCATGACTAATGGGAAAATACGCTTAATATGAATGTATAAGTACAGCCTGTCAGATTGCACACCGTCTTGGGGGAGAGGGGGAGAAAATCTGAAACTCAAAATCTTATGGAAGTAAATGTTAAAACTAAAAATAAATTCATTAATTATCAAAAACAAAAGAAGCTTATATTCTAATCAGGGAAGGCAATATTTAAAAGACAGCTGAGAGGCACGGAGAGGGGGAAGAAAAGATGGGAAGTGGCATGGAGGGAGAAGTCTAAAGAGTCAGAAGTTGGGAGAGGAGTGGAGTGAGCATGGCTGGCCTCAGCACATCCTCCAAATGGAAATCCATGGGGATGTTCATAAATCTAAGGAGGGGACCACAGAAGCAAAGAGATCTTCCAGGTAAGAAGGTGAATGAGATATAGTGAACAAGTCCAGAGAATCAGGAGTGGAGCCAGAAGAGAAATCAAGGAATGAGCACATGGTTATTGATAGGAGGGATCCTAATGAAATTGGTAGTTGGGGATCCAGTGGGTCTAGTTATACCACTGTATGAGCTCTTACTCTTCCTGTGTTTTCTTAAACAGCAGCCTCTGTATCCTCATGGTTTTGTCCAGAATGGCAGGAGACCCAGGAAAAAATAAAAGATTCCCAGTCAGTGCTTTCAAGCTCTAAGTGTGCCAGAGTCTGGTGAAAATACTGAAGAAAAAAAAAATCACACACTCCCTTGGTGAATTCCAGAAGGTAGCAATTAGTGTTGCAAGTGCCAGTAGTAAACCTTTGGGTGTGGTGAATCTAGGGATGTATTTGGGGAAATTTTGTCTTGGTTAGACCAGGGGCCTGCATTTATTGCATTTACTTTCTCCTCACTAGTAAACCAAAATCCATCTCTTCATTAAGATTAAATGCAGTAATGGCAGCAAATTTATGTAGTGTTCTAAAACATCTTTCTCACATCTTGTGGTTGTACTAGGGTCAGAGTTATCTCCATTTCACAGAAGAAGAAAGTGAATCAGAGAATAGAAGTGTTATGCAGAACATTATTTTGCCATTTAGGTAGTAGGGCCCTTTAAGCCATGGAAAGCAAAAGTTGGTGCTTAATCTTGCCCCAGACCTCTTTCCTCCTAAATCTAAACAATAGTGAATGTACTCTCTTGTAGCTCAGCACAGCCCATACCTCCAACGCAAATGGATAAGAAGCTTGCAATGTAATTGCTTTAGAAAATTATGTTTATACCAGAGACCAGGACGCCTGGTCTGGTTTGTGTGATCCCTGACCTGTAATGATGGGGTCCTCGGGTGCTGTGCTTCTACTTGTGCCCCAATTTCTCCCTAGTCTCAGAAACACTGTCTGACAACCACTCCCCAGCCCAAGGACACTGTGCCTAGCAGTTATTCATGCATGGGCCTCAGCACAACCCTTATTTCTCTCCCTGGTACAGCTACACAGAGCTGGGCTGCTCAGGCCCCAGCCCTCAGATCATGTGTCTGGAAGCCTCCCAATTCCTCAGTAAGTTCCTGTGTTGTGAGAAAGCTTTCCTTTGTTGCAGAGCATTCTCATGTCAAGACAGAGGGAGAGGGGTGTCCTTGACCAGCCCAAGAACTCTTCCTCTTGCCAAACTTCAAAGATCCATCCCCCTCCCTGTCCTGTATACTCCCTGTACTTTCCCATCCATAGCCCCCAAAGATACCTGTATCTTTGGATTACCTCATCAGTGTTCCTCGCATTTCTTTCCCATGCTCTTTTCTATATAAACCCTAGCTCGACCACTGATGGGGGCTGTTTGATTTGGATGTGCATACCCCTGGTAGCTGCGCGATAATAAATCCACATCTTAAATTTTGTCTGGGTTTGCCTCTCTGATTTCTCAGTACAACAGAAGTAATTTGCTGAATGTCACACAGCTAGTATCAAAGTCAGGATTGACCTGGCCTTCTGACTCCCAATCTAATGCTCCTTCCACTGTATCCTGGTACCTCTGAGGGTCCCTTCCTCTCTGAGGCTGGCCTTGTTTCCTCACCACTACTGGAATAGACACCAGGTAGTAACCATTCTCCTGAACTGCCTTGAGAACATGCAAATATTTGCTAAAGGGAACCTGCATGATAATAGCAGTCCTTGTACCTCTGATACAGGTTTTTGTTAGACCTAACAAGCAATGTCTGCAACTCGATGAATGCTTTTTATGTGTCTATATTATTTAAAGACTCCCTCTTTCTGAAGGGGGGAGAAACATGGACTCATATCTTCTTCCCCCTACCCTCACTGCCCTAGATCCTGTGGTAGACAGATTGAGAATTTAAAAACTGGTCTTCTAATCCCAGTTTTTTCAATAAGGAGATGCACGATCGTGAGTAAATCACTTTATAGGCTGTGGAGCTAGAAAGGACCTTAGATATTATCTCTGCAACTCCTTCATTTTACAGATTGAAGTCCAATGAAATTAAGTGGTTTGTCCACTTAAGGGCAAATGAGGAAATAAGTACAAGAGACTGGAGCTGAATCCAGGTCCTCCGATTTAAAATTCAACATTCTTTTCTACTCTACCACAATATTTCTCTGGGCCTCACTCTCCCCATCTGTAAAATCAGGTTATTGGACTCAATCTCTCGGGTCCATTGTAGTTCTAACACAACATGTTGTGGTTGGAGGCAGTGGGGTATAACAGAATGAACTTGACTTTGGATTCAGAACACTAAGGTTATAGTCCCAAATCTGCTACTTATTACCTGTGTGAATTTAGCCAAGTCACTTACTGTTTCTTGGCCTCACTTCCTCATCTGTAAAATGAAGGTTTCGATTAAATTATCTTGAAAGACTCTGCTAGTTCTAAATGTGATATTCCTTTCCAGCACTAGAATTCACTTGTTTTTTGAAGTTACAGAAGTAAGAAGTATGAATGACTGTCCTTCCTCATCACTGGCATAAAGCTCTTTGTGATTTTTTTTGGCATTTTGACTTTAGGCCAGAAAGTGGGTGGGATCTGGCCTAAGAATTATGTGGAAGAGGGACCCTCTAGTATAATGTGGATCAGATGAGTGGGGAAGAAAGCAAGATTCCCTTAAAGAGGCTGAAGGAGTTCTTCCCTTTTCCCATCGAGATCTACTTTAAATTGTAATATCCTACTGCTCTCTAATGGCCTAATCTGATGTCCCAGAGGTACAAAGCTAGGATAACTCCTCAAAGATTATTTAGAGAATCTGGACTCAAACCCAGGCCTTGGGGGTACCATTCAATCAACCAGTTAGCATTTTTAAGCACCTACCTAGTGTTAGGCTCAGAAGGAGGAGCTGGAGATAAAAAAGGGAAGGAGTCTCTCTGCCTTTAAGAACCTTAACTTCTCCTGAAAGGCATGGAATGTGTCCAGAGATATGTGTCAATATAAGATGTTTGTGAAATAGACAAAAAGTGATTGGCAGGGGTGGGGACACTAACAACCGAGGAAGTCAGGAAGGGCCTCTTGTACAAGACCTTTTGGTGCTCTTGGAATCTCTTATTTCTCTCAAGTATCATCTTCCACATAAAATCTTTCCTAATCCTTTTACCCACTGGTACTCCTCCAATTTTTGTCATTCAGTTGTTTTTCAGCCATTTCCAAATCTTTGTGACCCCATTCGGGGTTTTCTTGTCAAAGATACAGAAGTGGTTTGCCATTTTTTTCTTCAGTTCATTTTACAGATGAGGAAACCACGGCAAACAGGGTTGAGCGACTTGCCCAGGGTCACACAGTTAGTGTCTGAGGCCAGCCTCTCCCGGTAACTTTGTATCTGTTTTATATATGCCTATATACATACATATTGTTCTAGTTGTATCTCTGTCCTCTAGAACAGTGTAAAGCACATAGTAGGTCATCAATAAAATACCTGTTGATTGTTTCAGGAGAAGCAAACTCTGGGTTTGCCCCCCCCCCCAAATCCCTGTGGGATGTGGATGTGGGCTAGAACAGCTGCGAACAGACGGACTTCAGTCTCGTTTGGTTTAGGGACTTGTGGTTTCTCATTTTTAGGGCCCTGGGAGAGTCTGAAACCAAAAGTCACTTCCACTGGGCCCCTTCAGCCAAGGAGAGTAGGTGTTAGCCCAGGAGAGTTGGGCGGGGCCTTGTTTAAGCTCCTGAAGACAGCCTGTGAAGGCACAGCCAGTTGAGCTGCGATTGTCCATCTGCACTAGGCATCTGTTTGCCTCCATACCAGGCACCTTTCCCATTCTTCATCAATACTTTTAGAGCTACTTTTGGAGTCTGCAGTCATGGCTACTCCAAATAAAGATCCCACTGGGAACCTGGAGCTCAAGACCAAGGCTACTGTGACCTTCAGTTCTAATCCAGTCAGCCCACCAGACAGCACCTGGAAGTTCCACAACAAAGAATGTAACAATACCGGCTCAAAGGAGGGGAGCACCCCTGAGGGTGGGAGCAGTGGCTCTGACCCGAGCTCTTGCCAGAAGGTCGAGGGGATAACGTAAGTGGCTCATTCTGTCTTTCTCATTTTTGGCCTGGTTACTTTTCTATCTTGTGTTTGCAATAAATACTCTTGGGCTGTGCTTTGCTTCTTTGTAGGTGGTGTGTTCAGAGGCAGGTGTGTTTCATTCTCCTCATTTGACAAATGGAGAAATTGAGGTATGGGAAGATTAAGTTAGTTGCAAAGCTAAGATCAGAACTCCTTGCCACTGAGGATCCGGTCTGCTTTGTAGACTTTGTTTTACCTGGCTGTGCTATCCCTAGAAAGTCCTGAGTGCAGAGCAGAAACCCAGGCTGCTCTAAAAAAGCATCTAGGCCAAGGGTCCTTAACCTTTTTTGTGTTATAGACCCCTTTGGCATCCTAGGGAAGCCTATGAACCCCGTCTCAGAATAATGTTTTTGAATGCATAGAATAAAATGCATAGCTTTCCTGACTTTCTCCAAGTCTTAAAGTCCCATATTCCATAAGAAGACTTTTCTATACCTCCTTCATCTTATTGCCTCCTCTGTGAGAGTATCTCCAATTTATGCTGCATGTGTCTTGTTTGTAATTCTTTACCCAGTATCTTTCTCCCATTAGACTGTGAGTTCCTTGAGAACAGGGATCATTTTTATTTTTTGCCTTTCTTTGTATCCCCAGCATTTAGTACAGTGCCTGGCACATAGTAGGTGCTTAATAGATGCTTGTTGACTTGACTTTTAGAATGAGTTCATGGACCCCAGGTTAAATTCCTGATCTAGAGAAAAATGGTATCTGAATTTAGGACCATGAGAGCACTAGGGAGAGCCTGGGAATTTCCGGCATTAATACCAATAGCTCAAATAACCTCATGAAGAAGGGAGAATAAATATTATAATCACCATTTCGCCAATGACAGTAAGGCTTGACTTCCCTATTCCCTTCTCATCAAATAAAAATTGTAGAGACTCCTCTCAGGTCACTGGATTCTGGCTCCCCCTCTTCCCTTCAGACTCTGTCTCAGATCTGTCATAAGCAGAAATATAGGGTTTTTCTTGGGAAACTGTTTTTTGTTTCTTACTCAGGGATTATCCAGCAGGGTTCTCTTTGCATCTAATCCGTTTGAATTGATGCCCAGTAGATAGAAGTTTGTTTTTTCAACACCTGCATTGGCTGGTAACCTGCAAGGAAAACCCCTGGGGCTGTGGAGAGTTCAAGGACAGAGGGCACGTTCCCCAAGGCCTGACTTGAGATCTAATTTAGCTCGGGGTCCTCGAGAAGTATTTCCCAGGTAGTGCAAACTGACACTTGGATGCCAGGGTGCAGTGAACAGGGGTGAGCTAGAATCATGGATTGATAGCTCTGGAATGAACCACAGAGATCATCTAGTTGGTCCATCTCTTTACTTAACAGAGCTGGGGAGAGGAATGAGATTCACTGAGATCACACAGGAAGTGAGGGATCCATCCAGGATTAGACCCTCGGTTTCCCGGTCGCTAGTCCAGGGTTTTTTCTAATTGTTGTTGGAGAGGGATAGAATGAGTGTTTAAGATTAAGTATTCCCAAGAGAAACATATTAGCTCGTTTTGAGCTCCCAGGCTCTTAAGTAAACATCTCAAAAGTGAACCTTTTGCCCTTTCTTAGTTGCAAAAGGAACCTGTCTCCAGCATTTGGTAATGCAGGGGCTATTTGGGTGATATTTCTGCCTATGGAAATAAAAAGGGGCATCTACTTAGTTGAGATTTGTGTCCATTGCTCTCCTTAACACTTAATAAGGTGAATAATTGCTCCTCTGCCCTTAGAGGATTTAGATGTGTAACAGAGGGTCTGGGTTACTAGAATAAAAGGAATCACGAAACTGACCAAACAAATGTGTTTTCTTAGCCCGTGGTCAGAGTTCTCTACCATGTCTTCAGAAGTACTGTTTTTACACATGAACCGAAGCCCACTTCAGTTTAACTTTGCGCAAGTGGAAAAGGAGGAGACAAAGGAGGAGAGACGTGCTGGATATTTATTTTTCAGCTAACAAAGGGTAAAGGCACACTTGTTGAAATTCTGTTTGGGGCTCAATTTGTCCTTAGCACCTGTTAAACGGGTTTTCCAGGAACACTACCAGTCTTCCACCTCTTCCCCCACCATGCATGTGCGTGTGTACACTCAGGCAACAAAACTCAGGTAGCTTTCAACAGATCACTTCCTCTCTCTGGGCCTTTGGAGGACAGCATAATGGTTCATAGAGGAAAGAACATTGAATTTCAAATCGGAGGATCAAAATTCAAATATTTGTTCTCCTTACAACCTGGGTGACCATAGATATTTCATGTAAACTCCTGGCCCTCAGTTTCCTCATCTGTGAAATGAAGTGATTGGACCAGACAACCTTCAAGATTCTTTTCAGCTCTGATATTCCTTGTTCTAAGAGCCAGCTGAGTTCTCTTGTCCTACAGTATGTTCTCAGGTCTCCTGCTGTTCTGCCATGTCAACCTATACTACATGTGAGTTGGAGTGAAGCTTAACACACCAGGGTCACTCTTGGGCAGGAGGCTGGGTCTTGATTTTCACTGTTTGTAAACTATGGGAAGCCGAAAGGCCAAAAGCAGCTATTAACTTGTACCTGTCACTGTTATTTCTCAATCGCCTACTCCGTTTGTACTGGCTTGAGAACCAAGGCTCTGGGCTCTTTTTGTGGTTGTTTACAAATGCTGGGCCCCTCTGCTTCCTTCCCCACAGGGGGTCATTTCTGGAGGTTGACTTGTTCTCAGAAACTGGAAATGGATTGCATGACCCCCTCAGATCCCTGCCAACCCCAGGATTCTGGGACTCTGTACCTTTCTTGCTTCAGTGACCCTGTATCTCCCACATTCTAGAGAGATTGCTGCTTTCAAGACTATTAGAGATTTCTTTTGTTATTGGTAATAGTGGATAGCGTTTTAAGGTTTGTAAAGAGTACCGTAGGCCCTATCTCGTTTGAGTTTCATGACAAGCCTGTGAAGTAAGAGGCACAAACAGTATCTTCCTTTTTACATGGGAGGAAACTGAGGCTCATGAAAATGAAGTGATTTGCCTGAGGTCCACAGCCAGTTAAGTGGCAGAACCAGGATGCAAATGCATGGCTTCTTACTCCAGCGATCTTCTGTTTGATGTTCTCTTTTTTACCCTTCTGTACATACAGCATGTGCTAATTCATTTATATGGTCTTTGTCCTCCAGGAGCTTGCACCAGGTAAGATAAAGACACACACACACACACACACACACACAACTATGATGCAGAATAAAACACGTTCTGCTCCTGTCATGCGCCTAAGTGCTATGAAGTCTCAAAGAAGGGAGAGGTCGCTTCCAGTCCCACTCCAGTGGAAGGGAAGAAAATTCAGAGAAGGCTTCATAGACTAAACAGCTTTTGAACTAGACCTTGATGGGATAGACAGAGAAATAAGCAAGGAGAAGGTCATTACAGGGATGGAGAACTCTGGGAACAGAGATGGCAAAGCGCCGATGCATCTGGAGGAAACTGAGTTCTTTAATTTAGCTGGAGCTTGGAGAATATTAGAAGTATATGTGTGCATGTGTGTGTGGTATGATGCGAAGGATGAAGAGGTAGCATGGTACCATATGTCAAGGGCCTAAAATTTCAGACTAAGGAATTTGGATTTTATCCTCAAGCAATGCTACACCATTGAAAAGTTTGAGCAAGAGAATAACGTGGGTTTTGTGTTAGAAAGATTAATTTGCTTATGGGTGCAGAATGGGCAGAAAAGATGTCTTGTTCTTCTAAAATACCTGCAGTCCTGGGAGTGAGTGGTATAGAATATGAAGGCTATACTATATTTCTTTATGTTTGTTTTGCCTTTAGTCAACGCAGCAGGTCTAGCAGTCAGACCTGCAGTCACTCAGGTACATCTTTTTGTCCTCTTCAACCTCCTAGGGAATTGATTTATTAGGATATTCACCTGAGACCAATTCCATGGTCAGGTGATTTCCACAGGACCTTTATCCTAATAGCTCTGCCTCTTCACGGTGTCTCCACGTGATTTGCAAGTTGGAATGCAATAGGATGTTCCTTCCACAGGGCTTTAGCTGCCTGTGCTCTAGTTGTGGGGACAGAGCTCTAGTATAGTCAATGTAGTAATTGGCATCAATTCCAGATATTACAGGAGAGGACAATGGAGCTCACAGATTGCACCAGTAGGTGCCACCTAAACCAGTTCTGTCGCTTTGTCTGCAACTACAACCAGGGAGCTGAGCATGGGGCACCCCTCCCTCCACACTGATTCTCCTTGTCTTCCTTTGCAGATGGTTCCAAACTTTGATTCACCTGTTGAAAGGGAATACTGGCACAGGTCTCTTGGGACTGCCCCTGGCAGTGAAGAATGCAGGGCTCTTGGTAAGAGGTGTCTGTGCTGTGGGAGGGAGGAATACTCCATCACTCTGGGAAAGAGTTAGTAGGGGTGATATCACTTTCATTTGTTTGTTTGTTCATTCATTCATTCATTTATGATAATGAAATGGGAAAGCTTATTCTTTAATTGAACTTCCAAAGAGGAACTTGGGGCCTCGAGGCCACTCTAAGGTCCTCAAGTGCGGCCCTTTGATGAATCCACACCTCACAGAATAAATTCCCTTAATAAAAGGATTTGTTCTATAAAACTTGAACTTAGTCAAAAGGCCGCACCCAAGGGCCTAGAAGACCACACGTTCCCCACCCCTGGGTAAGACCCTTTTGGACACTGAGAGTGCCTTGGAAGGTAGACAGAACACTAAATCTTTATTAAACTAAGTTTAGAAAAAAATCATAGGGTGTATTTGGCTGGTCCCTGAAGTTATATCCTGAAGTGATACACTTAGAATCATAGAGTGTCAGAACTGAAAAAAACTTTAGAGATCATGATTATCTAGTCTACTTCCTCCTTCCCTCCCCCATTTTTTAAAAAAATGAGATGGAATTAAGGCCTGGAGAGGAGAAGATCACAATGAGTTAGAAGGATTTGAGCTAGAATCTGAGTCTCTTCCAAGTCTAAGTCTGTCTTTACTACATCACTGATATGTTATGAACGTATCCCTTTTTTTCTTCTTGAGGAGACTCAGGAACTTACCAGAGTTCATACAAGTATCCATTTCATACAGTTTCCTCTTCAATCTCACTATTTGCCCCTTCATTGGATCACTTAGATGGTTGTTTCCTAAGGATAAACTGTAACAATGTTGTCTTTGTTCAGCCTGTCCCTGCCTCTTATGGTTTTAATAACTATGTCTCCTTTTCTCTCCCCCTCCCACTGCAAACCCTTCTCTAAAGATAGGTCCTCTCAGTCTGTTGCTCATTGGCGTTGTGGCTGTGCACTGTATGGGCATCCTGGTGAAGTGTGCTCACCACTTGTGCCACAAGTAAGATACATTTGTTTCTCCCTGTTCTTGAATGAAAGGTTTTGTACTTAGGTCTATGTTCCTTGTGTGTATTGATGTAGCCATGTTTCATTTGTTTTTCTGGTCTTAATGTGACATATGTATGATTTTTTTCAGAGCTTAAATGAAACTATCTCATTACTATCTGTTTCTCAAATAGAACAAAAGTTGTTGAGCCACTCCTACTTCAAGAACTTTCTAAAACAGAGAAGACACAAAACTAGATCCCTGTCTAGTCACCAAATGTCCTCCCCTTTCAAAACTGTATCCACCTCTCTTCTACCTACTCTTACCTTCCCCTTTAGAAGTGAATAACTTATTAGACTTGGCCTAAGAAGACTTAGGTGTGAATTCTGCCTCTGACACTTAGTAGTTAGGCCTCTATTTTTTTATCTGAAAAATGGGGATAGTACCTATCTAATATAGTTGGCATTTTTCAAACCTTAAGAGCACTGACATTTATCAGCTATTATTTTTAGGTTTGTGCCAGACTACGAATCTATTCAGCCTAGAATTTAGTATCCATGAAGGAGCATAGTATGATTGAAAAAGTCCTGGCCCGGGAACCAAGAGACTTGAGTTCTAATCCCAGAACTACCACTAATTGGCTGTGTGACCTTTAGTAAATTGCTTGCTTTCTTTGGGCCTGTTTCTTACTTCTAAAATGAGGGGTTGGAATAAATAGAATATTCAAGGAGCCTTTCAGCTACTAAATTCTATGATTCCACTAGTGGAACGACATCATATTTGGCAATTTTTCTCCATAAGAATCCTGACCAGAGGTCTCACAGGCATAAACAGTGCCCTACACACCTAACTTTTGCCTGACAATTATACCTCATTATGGTGAGCGTTATTATTCATCTTTCATTCACTATACCTCTATAGTTAGTGAACTCCTACCAAGCATATTTCATAATTATAGCCCCACTTAGGAGCAAACTATCTCCAAACCCCACCCACATCCCAATACAACCCTGCCCAACCCTTCCACTGTACCCTCTGGAACTCCCATTTCATAATAAACCACAGTTTCATCCTAGACATCTTTCTCTCATGTTCCTTCCGTCTCCTAGCCTTCATTGAGACCTAGCTTTCTCCAGAGGACACTGCATCCCTGGCTGTCCTCTCCAGCATCAGCTGTACCTTCCCTCACACCTTCCAGCACAGTGGTCCAGGAAAGAGAGTTGGAATGCTCCTGCTTCCCCACTGCCACTCCAGAAGATCTCTCTGCAACCATCATTCACCAACATCTTTGAGGTTCCCCCCTCTCTCTATTAAACTCCTAGAAAAAGTCATCTACCCTCCCTCCTCTTCCTTTGCTTCTACTACCTCTACTTCCTCTCCTTCTACCTAAAACCCTGTAACTTCATCACTCAAATGAAACTTCTCTCTCCAAAGTTACCGATGATCAACCCTTGAGTGCCATATCTAGCGGTCTTTTCTCAATCCTCATCTTATTTGACTTCATTGCTGTATTTGACACAGTTGTCAACTAGCTCCTCCTGAATGTTCTCTCTCTTCTCTGGGATTTCCTCATGTTGTTCCTGATGGGTTCTCTTCCTACCTGTCTGGCCACTCTTCAGTCTTCTTTGCTAGATCATATCAGAGCCACTAATTGTAGGCTTTCTCCTACTTTGTCCAGGCCCCCTTCTCTTCTTCCTATATATATTCTTTTGGTGACCTCATCAGTTCCCATGAGTCTAATAATCATCTCTATTCAGGTCACTCCCAGACCTTTATGTGCAGCCCAGTCTCTCCCTTAGTTTCAGTCCCATGTAACCAACTGCCTGTTGGGACATTCAAACTGAATGTCCCAGAGACAGCTCCAACTCGGCATGTACAAAAGGAACTTGCTACCTTTTCTCTCAAACTTACCTGTTTTCCAGACTTCCCAAATTTTTGAAAACACCACCATTCTTCTAGTTTCCCAATGTCATCTTTGACTCTTCAGTCTCCTATATCCCACATTTTTGCCCTTTTGATGCCCATAGCATCCCTCCCATAAGGCTACTTTTACTTAAGTGAAGATCTAACTAGTAAACTACCTCTTCACTCACCTCCGGTGGCTCCCCATTGCCAGTAGGATATAGTTTTTACTTCAATTTCCTCCCCCTGTCACTGCTGTTAAATTCCCCATCCTTCACACGACTTCATCTCCATCAACTCATCCCTTCCATCTGGCCTTATCTCCCCTACCCTGCTCAATCAAAATCAATTGACAAGTATTGATTAAATGCTTACTCTGTGCCAGGCATTTAGGACACAAGTTCAAAAAATGATACAATCCCTACTTGCAAGGAGTTTACATAGCTAATCATAATGATGATGGTGATGATGATGATAATAATAATAATAATAGCTAGCATTTATATAATACTTTAAGGTTTTAGGTTTGCAAAACCCTTTTACAAATATTATCTCATTTGATCCTCAAAACAGCCCAGGGAAGTAGATGCTAATATTGTCCCCACTTTACAGATGAGGAAATTGAGACTTAGAGAAGCTAAATGACTTCTCCAGAATCACACATCTAGTAAGTGCCTGCGGCAGGATTTGGATCTGACTCCAAGCCCAAACATTCTATCCATTAGGCTGTCTAGCTGCATCTCTTTAACTGTTCTACTATTTTCCAATTTGCTAAAGAGAGATTGCTGGAAGGATGGAGCATGATCCTGGGAAGTCCATATCACCATGCTAAACAGTCTCAGTGCTCCTTTCACAAATCTAATTTTTTTTATGAATTGCAACTACTTCAGTGACCGTACTTTAGAGCTAGTCTGGTCTCTAACACCTCCAATAACAGAGAAAAGGTTCAGCTAGGGCACCTGGAGACTTGGTGCCCTCATTCTGTGGAGGTGACACACAGGAAATGAGCCAATGTTTGGCAATGCCAATTAAACTCTCTTAGTTCTTCCAGGGCCACATTGTTCCCTGTACATGCCTTCTCTGCTTATCTTGCAATGAGAACACATGCATATCTTTCTTTACTGTCTAGGGGTTCAACAGTCCCCATATCCACTTAGCCAGCTAGCAGTTATATATGGTACCTTAAGGTTTGCAAAGTGCTTTACAAAAACCATCTCATTTGATCATCACAACAATCCCTAGGAAGTAGGTTTTATTATTCTTTACATTTTTCAAATGAGGAAACTGAGTCTGTGAGAAGTTTAGAGACTTGCCCAGGGTCATATAGGAAGTAAGTGTCTGAGAGCAGGATTTGAATTCGGGTCTTCCTGACTCCAAGTGTAGCACTGTGCCACCTAGCTGACTTTGATTAGCTAAAAGGAATTATGTTCTCAAGTTTTCCTAAGACATTTTGACTGGATTTTGACTTTGTCCTCATCATAGTCTGCCTTGCATGATACTTACTGGAGTACATGTCACGCTCTGCTGGACTCATAGGATTGTAAACCCCTTGAAGTCAAGGACTCTTTTTTTATACTTGCTAGGTAACAAAGACACACACAATAGGCATTTAATACATGTCTGTTCAGTTGTTTAATTGAATATAAAAGGTTCTTTCCTGTTCTCTCATTGCTGGTTTCTGCAGCACATTAGTTTTCTAAGTCCTTGCCTCACAACAAGCCTGAGGTAGAGAATGCAAGTATTGTTGGCTCCATTGTACAGAGGCAGGTGGTACAGTGGAAAGAGCACTGAATTTGGGGTCAGAAGATTTGAGTTTAGGTTTTGGACTGCCATCACTCGTAGTGGTCTGAACCTAAGCCACACTATTTCTCCAAATAGAGTTTGTATCAACCTGAATATGACCTGTAATTGATGATATCTTAAAGTGTATCGCTATAGATTTTTCTTTTCCTTTCAAAACGACTTAATTCATATTACAGTCACATTATTCATATACTTTTATTGATCAGTTATTTCAGTCACATCCAACTCTCTGTGACCCCATTTGGAGTTTTCTTGGCAAAGATACTAGAGTGGTTTGACATTTCCTTCTCCAGATCATTTTATAAGATGAGGAAACTGAGACAAACAGGGTTAAGTAACTTGCCCAGAGTCATACAGCTAATGTGTCTGAGGTCATATTTGAACTCAGGTCTTCCTGACTCCAGACCTGGTGCTCTGTCCATTGTGCTGGCCACACATCTAGCTGCCCACATAGTCACATGTTATTTTAAACTCCTCCTAATTCAATAATAGTCACCTCATAAGAGTGTGGCTATTGGAAGGTAACTTATTTTGACTATTATGGTTTGAGCTCTGTGTCCCAGGACTAAGTCACTTCAAGAAACTGAGGCTCAGAGATAATCTGTAAAATAGGGTCAATTGTACTTCTACTATCTACTTCAGGCCTGTTATGAGGCAAGGACTTTGTAAACTCTTTTGTGCTATAAAAATGTTAGCTGACAACTAATATTTTGTATTACCGTTTCCCCTCAGGTTACAGAAGCCCTTTTTGGACTATGGAGATGCAGTGATGTATGGGCTACAGACCAGCCCCAGCTCTTGGCTCCAGAATCATGCCCTGTGGGGAAGGTAACAGCAGTCACAGTCCCCTTGCCTGGAAGGGGACAAAGTACCTTGGGGTTCTGCTGAGCCTCTTGACCTGATGGGAGAAAACATTGGGAACCCAAAGAATTGTACAGGAGTTTTCTAGCTCCTAGGTTGTAAGCTCCCTGAGAACAGGGACCATGTCTTTAAACTGTGTATCATTCTTAACACCTAACTTTGGATTTTATAAACAGTGGGCACTTAATTTTTGTTGTATGAAAATGTTTTTATGTCAATTACATATGGTTCCTAGGAAACTAAATTTGCCTAGTCTCTGCCCTTGTTCTCTAATAATAATAATAGCTAACATTTACATAGAGCTTACTACATGCCAGGCATAGTGCTAAGCATTTTATAATCACTATTTCATTTAATCTTCACAACAATTCTGGGAGGCAAGAGCTATATTATCTCCATTTTACAGATGGAGAAATTGAGACAAATAGCAATTTTTTTTTAGTGACTTTCCTAGGGTTACATAGCTAGTCAATATCTGAGGTCATATTTGAATTCAGGTCTTTCTGAATCCAGGCCCAGCACCCTACTCACTGTGCCACTTGGCTACCCTCTAAAGACTTCCAGCTCTGTGGAAATAATTACTGACTTTTTGTTTCTTGGGTACCTATTCAAACAGGGCATCATGGGAGCTTGGAACAAAGATTTTAACAGAGACATTTGCAACCAGACTATACTTCCACAGGGAGCCTGTTCCTCTTTGGATTATCAGGAAATTTTTTCTTTACATCATACCAACATTTATCCCTCTGAAATTTCCTGTGATTACTCCTAGTACTACCCTTGGGGCCAAGGAAAATAAGTTTAATTTATCTTCCACATGACATCCCTTCAAAGACTTAAGCTCAGGGGGCATCTTTTCCCCTACATCTTCTCTTTGGAAAGCTAAGCAGCCAGCCCCTTCAGTCTTCATATAGCGTGATCCCAAGGCTCTTGGTCATTCTGGTTACCTACCACCTCCTGTTTTCCAGCATACCGATTTGTTCAGTCATTTGATGTCCTACTCTTCATGACCCCATTTAGAGTTTTCTTGGCAAAGATACTGGAGTAGTTTACCATTTCCTTCCCCAGCTCACTGATATCCTTCCTAGCAACATTTTATAGAGACAAGTGTCTTTATCAGTCTCCATTCAAATGTCAGAAATGCCAGTCTCCTTCCATACACTACGGTATATTCGAATGTGTACCCAGGGAAGTGGCATAGTGGATTAAGCACTACACTTGGAATCAGAAAGACCTGAGTTTGAGTTCTGCCTCAGACACTTGCTAGTGTGAGCAAGTCACTTAACCCCTGCCACTCTTAGTTTTTCGTATCTATCAAATAGGGATCATAATAGCACTTCTTTTACAGGGTTGTTGTGAAGACTAAGTAAGATAACATGTAAGTAGCTTTACAGACCTTCAAGTACTATATAAATACTGGCCATATGTATTATAATAAAAAGAAAATTTCAGTAATCTTTCTGCCCCATCCCCAGGGAACTGAAGGTCTAGATTGGGGGTTCTTACCCTTTTTTTGTATCCTGGACCCCTTTGGCAGGCTGATGAAGTGTATGGATCCCTTTTCAGAACAATATCTTTAAATGCATAAAATAAAATACATAGAATAAAAAAGGAAACCAGTTAAAATTATTAAAATTATTTTTCAAAAAATTCATAGAGCCCAAGTTAGGAAATGTTGGTCTGCACTGTACTCTGGTGCCCAGAACTGAATGCAGTAGTCCAGATGTAGCCTGATAAGGGCAGAGTACTGAGAAATGTTTCTTCCTTATTGCTAGAAGCTTTGTCTCTCAATGTCACCTTAAATCACATATCATACTATTTCCTGCCTCTTTGTGAGATGAGCTGCACGTCCAATCCTCTATTGGAGACTGATTTATTTTTCACCCGAGAAGAAAGTTAAAATTTAATCCTATTTGATTCAACCCAGATGCTAACCTATTCAAATTTTTTAAAATCCTGACTGTCATCCAGTGTGTTTGCTCTCCCTACCAGTTTTGTGTATCTGAAAATCTGGTAAGCATCTATGCCTTTATCCAAGTCATTGACTTAAAAACATCAAACACCACAGGGTCAAACACCTATGCTCCACTGGGGACTTCTTTCTAAATTGAAATTTAACTTTTAATGACAACCCTTTCCCATTAAACAATCCATCTAAAGGTCTAGCCTTCATCTCCCCATCTTTGTCATATGAGTAGTATAAGACACTTTATTTTAAAATATGATTAAAACTCTTTTTACAACATTACTGTTTTCTACTAGTTTATTACTCCTGTCAAACGAAGGAACAAGGTTTGACTAGCATCATCTGTTTTGGATAAAGTCATGCTAGTTCTTTGTAATTGGTGTTCTCCTTTCCAGATATTCACTATCCATCTCTTAAATAATGCATTCTAGATTTTTGCAAGAATGCCACATCAGTCTTACTGACCACTAATTTACAGAGACTCTATTCTCTTCTTCTTCATCTTTTTGAAAACAACAGTTGCCAATGGTATCATTCCATTTCTCTGCAGCCTTTCAATGATGACCGATAACTGCTCAGTAATCAAATCTGCCCGTTGTTGTTGGTTTTCTTGTTTTCAGTATCAGAGGATGTGGTTCATCTGGGCCAGGTGACTTGAGCTCGTCTGGGCAGCTATTGCTCTCTTGGTTTACCACCTATCTTGGGTGTCAGCTATGTGTCACCATCTTTGTTCTTCCCAGTCCAGAGATCTTTCTCCTTCTCAGGAGTAGCTTTGCCTTCTCTCTGTCCCTCTTTATCATAGTTTCATCCACCCTGAGCAATGATCCAATATAGCTTTCTTGAAAAAGCAAAACTCTGTCATTTTTGTTGTCCATACTCTTCTTCACTGGCCTCAGCTCATTCAGAATTTTAGCACTCATTACAATTCTTACAAGACTAGGTTTTGCTTTTTCTTCATCCTGTTACTTGTTAGAATGTAAGCCCCTTGAAGGTAGGGATTATTTCATTCTTTGTATTTGTATCCTGAGTACCTAACATCTAGTAAGTGCTTAATAAATGCTTCCTGAGTGATTACTTGCCCTTGCTTCCAACTTCTTTATGTGTTTCTACAGCTTTCTTATAATATTTTCTCCTTGACCTGGGAATTCTGGAATTTGGCTACAATATTCCTAGGAGTTTTCCTTTGGGGATCTCTTTCAGGAGGAGATCTGTGGATTCTTTCAATTTCTATTTTTCCCTCTGGTTCTACTCTATCAGGGCAGTTTTCCTTGATAATTTCTTGAAAGATGATGTCTAGGCTCTTTTTTTTGATCATGGCTTTCAGATAGTCCAATAATTTTTAAATTTTCTCTCCCGGATCTATTTTCCAGGTCAGTTGTTTTTCCAATGAGATATTTCACATTGTTTTATAATTCTGCAGCTTTCTACAGCTTCCATTTTCCTTTTTCGTTGGAACTATTTCTCTTTGTGGCCTCAGAATTTGATCCTTGAGAACTTCTCTTCCCTCCTAGGCTAACTTGTCCTTTTGGATTTTAGCCAGTGACATACTATCCTTCCTTTAAACCTTTTGAAATCAGTTCTCCCAAACTCTGGGACGTATGTCAAATTGTAGATTTTTTTTCCCTCTCCTCTATCACAAACTCTAAGATAGAAGTAACTTCCCCCATTCCATGTTTCCAACTCCTCACAGTCTGGCCAGCTCCAATCAGCCTCCTAACCTCTTCTAGTTGCCCACAGACCAGTAGGTCCCACTAGAAAGGACCCCCGTGGTCCCTGTTCTTCCTTGTCCCAAGCTACAAAGGATTCGGAAGTCAAAACTCAGACAGCCAATTAAAGTAAAAATGCCAAATTCTGTGGAGATGGAACTTCCTAGGGTACAGTCATCCTACCTCCAGAATTCTGTGGTCTTCCTTCTGAGATAATCCCCATCAGAAGGCTTGGAAAGGTAACACTATCAGATGCCCAACATTAGGGTCTTCCTTGAAGCTGGTCAGATTAGACCTAGCCTGTCTCCAGGCAAACCATGGTGATTAATTGGCTTCATGGGTTTAGGCCACTGCTTTCCTGTCTCACCTCTTTAATCATCCTTCCCTGGGTTGATAACTAGAGCTATTAACAGTTGACAACTGGGCAGGCATGGCTTTGGCCAAATGCATGGCTATTGCCCTATGAGAGACACCGCACTGAACACAACAATACTGGTGTTGCTGATCATTTGTTGGGGGTGGGGGGGCAGGGTACAAGAAGTGCCACCTGATCATAAGGAATGTATTGTCTCAATCTTTTAAAAATGTACTTTTGGCAGGCCTTTTCTTATTGCAACATTTGCATTATTAATGATCCCTGAAGACGGTTAATATGGCATTATCTTGGTGGTTAGAGTGGTGGGGGCTTTAGTGAAGGACTTGGGTGTGAAATTTGTGTAAGAAAATCTAAATGGACATGACAGCTTTTAAAAGCAGCTATGTTTTTCTGTCTTCTTCCTAGGCATGTTGTAGTCTTTTTCCTGATTCTCACTCAACTGGGATTCTGCTCTGTGTATTTTGTTTTCCTGGCTGATAATTTAAAACAGGTAGGATTTTTCTTGCTCTTGGTTTGATGAAATAGAGAAACAGAGCTGCTTAGATTTAGACTTCTTGACAAATGCAAGGCCTCTGAGGCATGCAGCTACCCAGAGCACTTGTCTAATCTTGGTCAGTATGGCCCTATGTCAAAGCTAAAACTAGGTTGGTTGGGGCCTAGAATTTTAGAGTTGGGATGAGTAAATCTTAAGAGGCGTAAGCCAAGGGTAGGAGACCCATGGCTTTCAGGCCTTGTGCAGACATTCACTGCGGTCTTTTGGCATAATACCTAAATAAACACAAATTAGGATGCAATTTCAGAACATTTTGAATTTAGAGTGAATAGTTCTGATTTTCTAGGATTTTATATAACTTTTTAACATTGCATTAGTCATTGCTATGGTAGTAGCAAGACAAAGCTGTTTCACTGTTATTTAATAACAGTAACAGCTCACATTTTGTGTAACTTTTTTGTATTTATAATTATACTTGATCCTAACAACTAACCTGTGATGTGGTATGAACAATAGTATTCCTATTTCTTATGTGAGGAAACTGGGTGTCTCTGAGTGGTATTGCTAAGTGGGAGAAGCTGAAGCTTAGCCCTAGGTCTTTTAACCACAGATGTAAGTATTCTTTTTTATACCATAGCCACCCAAAGAGACTCTAGGAACTCAACATTTGTGCCACTTTTGAGGAATTCTCTTGGTCTGTTAGGACAAGTATATGCATGGGTTGGGGTTGGATAACTATGGGTCAAAAATAAGAGGCCAAACTGAAAGAAAAGAGATTTATTAGCATGCTAGGGAATCTACTGTAGCTGATGACAAATTTGGATTCCTAGGATACAGATCTGGTTTCTATTAACCTTTCAGGTCCAGTTAGTATACATAGTCAATCAGCATTCTGTGGCGACTTGAGATAGAAAATTAAAACATTTGACAGGAGAGGAAAGGGTAGAGAAATAGGAGGATCTGTGAAGGAAGAAAAGGGAAGGATTTGGAATGCAAGTGGAAGGATTTATTATCAGAAAAAGAAACCTTTGTTCAAGGATAGGAGACAAGGGTGAAGAGAACAAATATTTTTACACTTATGAAAGCAGTCCTTTTAGAGAAAACTGTAGAGTACCTTCTCCAAGGCCAGCAGTTAGTTGTTACTACAGTGGATGAGACCATCTACCTTGCTGTGTTGTTGCACAGAGGTTGGGGATTTTCTAATATTAGGCCACTGTATAGCTGAAGGGTTTCTATATTGTTAGTCCATCAAAATGTTGCAAAAATAATTGTGGTACTTCCCCACCCCTATCCCTACCTCCCTTATACGCTCTAAATTCTGCAGCTCATGGATCACGGATAACACAGGCTTACCAGCAAAACCAAAGTCAGATGACAACAGTGATATCGGAATCACTGATCAAGTTCCTGATTGGCAGAACTACCTGCATTTCCTTGGATGAATCATTTAACCTCTCTAGAAGTCCGGTTCTTATCTGCAAAAGGACAGGGTTAGGGTAGACAACCTCTAAGTTCTCCTCCAGCTGTTAAATCCTGTAATCCTATGAATAAGTGGACACATTAAAAGTAACTAAGTTGTACTTGATTCCTTGACAATTTTTTTTTGATAAATCATGGAATTAAGAACAAAAAAGAACCTTAGCAATTACTTGGTCTATAGATTTAAGGGAGGCTATATAGTACAGTGGATGAGCACTGACATTGGAATCAGAGGGCCTGGGTTCAAATCCCTTCTGACACTGACCTTGAGCAAGTCATTAGATGGACCTTGACCTTAACCTTGATAGACTTCAGTTCTTCAACTGTAAAATGAGAGGTTAAACAAGATGACCGCTAAGATCCCTTCCGACTCTAGATGTATGATCTCATTTTGTGAAGCTCAGGGAGGCTGTAACTTGCCCCAGGTCATACAAGTAATAAGTGTCAGAAAAGGGATTTAAACCCAGGCCTTCTGACTTCAAAGCCACTGCTGCTGTGCTAGGAGAGGTAGCCTTAAAATCTGGGTCCTTTGACTTCAAATACAGAGCTTCCATCGCTAAACCCAATCAACAAATTTATTGAGAATATAAATTGGTCAGAGTGTGATTTTTGTGTAGTAAACTCCGTGAGAGCAGAGACTGTTTGCAATTTGCCTTTATATCTCTAGCATAGTGTCTTACATAGAACACATAGTTCTACATCTACTTCTACTTAATATGTTAAGCATCTACTTCTTACTCAGCCCTTCCCTAATAGCTGTGGGCAATATTAAGCAATATAATCCACAATTCCTGACTTGAAGGAGCTTACAATTGAGTTCATATTAATATGAAAAGTTGAATAACAATGTAAGAGTTCAGAAACAGCTCAGGGTATTGTTAGATGTCACAAAGTGATATGTAATTAATTGTCCAGTGAATAGGACAGATAGTAAGGAAGTTCAGAAGAACTCTATGTGTTAGAAGTCTTACAGAAGTCTACCTAGAATAGGCCAGATGGGACTTGAGCTAGACCATGAGGCCACATGTGGCCCTCTAGGTCCTCAATTGCAGCCCTTTGACTGAATCCAAACACAGAAATTCCCCACCCCTGAGCTAGACTTTGAATGATGGATATGAAGGGACTCAAAAGGGTAGGTAGAGTATTGGAGGTAGTAGAATTCAGAGCAGCAAGAATATGGAGGTAGGAAAGCATGAGTCACTATTGGAGAATAGTGCATATACTAGTTTGACTGGAGCAAATCTGGAAGGGTAGGCCAGACGCAGATAATGGAAGACCAAAATACCAGACTGAGGAGTTTGAACTTTGTTGGTAATGGAGAGCCTTGAAAGAGTTTTGACCAATTTTTGACCTGGTCAGAGGGTTATTTGGGGGATATGTATAACTTCCTATTCCTCTTATCAGGTGATAGAAGCAGTCAATACAACTACCACCAACTGCTATAGTAATGAGACTGTGACTTTGACACCTTCCATTGACTCACGACTCTACATGCTCAGCTTCCTGCCCTTCTTGGTGTTGCTGGTATTTATCCGTAACCTCAGAATCCTGTCTGTCTTCTCCATGTTGGCCAACATAAGTATGTTCGTCAGCCTGGTTGTGATCTACCAACACATTGTTCAGGTACATACACAGACCATGGCCATAACCTCGCTGGGGCCTTTAACACCTAAGCTTCCAGATGGAGGCTCTCTCCATTGTCACCATCCCAATTATTTACAAAGTGATAAGAAAGATCCCTAATGGCTTTGGTAGTATCTAGAATTTCAGGAAAAGCAATGCATCTTGGCATCGTCAGATGACTGTCTGAGACCTTTTTTCATTTGTTGATCAAAGAAAGAAGAGTAGAAGGGAAGAATATCTTCTGAAATTCCTGTGTCCCCATTACTGGATGACTGAGCAATCAATCACATCAAATCAGTCAGTGCCAGGTTTAATTGATTGTTATTCCAGCTTTCATGGGGTGGTATAACATGCTGGCTTAGTCTGATGTGACATGGAGGGAAAGAGAGGCCTGACTTTATGGTGCAGGATTTCAATAGAAGGCACCACATCTATCTGTAGAGTGCTATTCTCTCTTGAATTCCAATCCATGATAAACAACTGCCTCGTGGACATCTCCACTCTACTATGGCGCTTGGAACACAGTATGTCCAGAACAGAATTCATATTTTCCTCAAAACCCATACCTCTTCCAACCCCTCCCCTTTTCACTGGACGCCACTTCTACCAGCCATCAAGGTTACTACCTCTAGAGCCATCCTTTCTGTCACTCCACATATCCAATCCACTGCCAAATATCTTCACAGTATCTCTTCCAACCATTCCTGTCTCTTCACCCACACAACTTAAATAACTGAGGCCCTCATTATTGTACACCTGAACTTTTACAATATACTCTCACTTAGACTCTCTGCTTCTAGCCTTTCACCTCTCCAATCTATCACAAAGCCACCAAGCTGATATTACTAACAGATCTGTCCATGTCTCTCCCCTACTCAAATCTTCAGTGGCTCCTGGTTGTTTCTAAAATAAAATGCAAACTCTTCAGCCTGGCATTTAAAACTATCTACACTCTATCTCCCATCTACCTCCAGTCTTTTTTTTTTCATATTATACCCTTCTCTCACTGTTCTAGTCAAACTGGCCTGTTAACTATTGCCTGTAGATGACATCATCTCCTGCCTCCATCCCTTTGCATAGGTGAGCCCCTATCAAGAACGTATTTCCTCCACCTCAGGAAATCCCTGTCTTCTTTCAAAGCACAGATCAGCTATCACATCCTACATAGAGCTTCTTAATTTTACTCCTCCCGTGTCCTTCCACCTCACACCAATATTAAATATTCTTTCCCTCTTTAAATAACTTCCTTCTAAAAATAACTTTAAATAAGTTTGCTTCTTTATAGCTTATATTTACTGACTTGTGAGCAGATTTGTAGAATGTCACTTCCTTGAGGATAAGGACTGCTGTATATTCCCAGGGGGTAGCACAGTGCCTTGCACATTAATGAATGTTTTCCTTGAAGTGAATTTAGAGATAGCAAGTGTTAAAAGTATCCTGCAAAACAAATTTGGAAAGGAAGCAGTTGCTCACATTTCCTCTGTGCATCATTTCCACAGGCAGCCCCAGCTAACGAAATGCTACCTCTTTCTTCTCCATGAGGCAATTGTAACGCTACTTCTGGATGAAGTGATAATATCTAACATAATAATAACTACTGTCCATAGTGTTCTATAGTTTGTAAAACACTTTGTATAAGCAATAGCCTCATTTTCATTTTGTGAACGTAGAAACCAATGCTCAGACTGATCAAGAAGCTTATCCAAAGGCCCACAGGTGGAAAATGGCAGAGGTGGGGCTTGAATCCAGATTTATTGAACCCTGGTTCAGTGCCATTTATACAACACCCCAAAGTCTTTGAGAGCTTGAGCCTTAAAAACTCCCTAAAGCAGAGGAGGACTCCTCCATGGCTCTCTGAGATTCCCTGAAGGTCCCCTTCATCCCAGTACTTCTCTAATCTCCTCCTCTGTCAGCACTGTTGTTTAGGACTGTCCTCTTACTCCTGATTTATGTCTGTCTTTTTCTTTCCTCTCCAGAGGAACCTGTTGAACTTTCCTTCACAAATCAGTAAAGAGTGGTGGCCAGGAACTTCATAATCTTATTTAGTTAGACACGCATTTATTAAACACCTCTACCTACAAACCTCTGTCCTGGGCATAGAAAAAAAAATTAATACAATAATTCCTAACCTCAAGGAACTTCCATTCTATTGGAGGATACAACATGTGTACAGAGAAGCAAATATAAAATGATGCTAGGAGGAGAGAAACCACCACCAACTGCTCGAAAACAATACTGAGGTCAAGTTAACTTGTGCCATCTTCTCCTAGAGTTTCACAGGACTATTCACAGGGGTTATCTGCTTTGGGAGTCATAGAGCTTCTTCTCATTCTAGTCTCATGTTTTTATTTTTCAGGATATCCCCAGATCCCAAAAACCTCCCTCTTGTAGCTGAGTGGAAGACCTACCCTTTGTTCTTTGGAACTACTCTTTTTGCATTTGAGAGCATTGGTGTGGTAAGGTTTGAAGTGATTAGCAACTTCCTGGGGCCGTTGATGGATGCTTGGGGAGGAGGCTGGGACTCACTGTGCTTCCTGTCCTGACTGTTGTTTGTCTGTCATTCTCATTACATGACCATGACAGCAGGGAGGTGATGCCATGACAGGCAAGTGAATTGGATTTAAGTGAGGGAGGGCTGGGCAAGGTCACCAGCCACACTTTCTCCTCCAGAGCCATCTGGGTCCAGTGGCTAGATATAGGTCAGGATGCCTGGAAATGGCCCAGGATACAGGCCTTTTCAAGCTAAGATCTTTAAGAGGTCTCAGTTTGACTGAGGCAATGCCTATTTAGTGATTAAGGTTTAAGAATAAATGAGGCAGAGAATGGGCTCTTTACCTAGTCAAAAAAAAAAATGATCTGAGAGAGGAAGACCCTCTGGGTTTCTGGCCAGAATAGAAACAATTGCTATTTACATTCATTCTGAGCCAATCAGGGCCCAAACCAGGCCCAAGTTGTTGACCAGTCAATGAGAGCCGGGCCTTTTAGGGAAGGCTAGAATAATGCAGTCATGAGACAGAAATGTTGACCTATGGTAAAACTGAGGTAGTGGAGCTGGGGAGGGGCTGGAGTGTGTCAAATAAGATAGTTTCATACATTTAGAACCAGAAGAGACCTTAGACCAGGCCTGCACAACTTGTAGCCCAGGAGTAGCTTGCATCCTGCCAAAGGATTTCAGGTAGCTCACGAAAAATGTAGAGGATATAAAAGAAAGCAAGGATGTCATGAGTGCTTTGTCCGTGCCCCACTTAACCCACCTTCCACTAGTCGCTGTTGTGCCCTTCATGTAACTTGGTGGGTGGGTTGCCACTGTGCACGCTCTCCTGTTTGTCACATGACCGGTGCAGCCAACCATTGTCATACCTTTATTGGAAAGTGAGCTGCTTAAAAACCTGTCTGCAGCCTGGAGAAATTTCGCCTGTTTTAGTTGTGGCCCCCACTGCTGTCCAGTTGTGCAGTTCTGCCTTAGACCAAGGGTTCTTATCCGGGGAGCCAGGAACTCGATTTTTAATATCTTGATAATTGTATTTCAGTGCATTTGTTTCCTTTGGAGTATTACATATTTTATTTTTGCTTTTAAAAACATTACTGTGAGAAAGAGTCCAAAGCTTCACAAGACTGCCGAAGGGTCCATGATGTAGAAGGACTAAGAACCCCCTCTTAGTTTATGGATGAGGAAACTGATGCTTAGATATGTTACATAGGTAGAGTAGAACAAGGATTTTAACCCGAATCACAGAATTAGAAAGTTGGAAGGGATCTCAGGGGCCTTCTGATTTTAACCCATTCCTGGACAAGGTATGATCCCTGGGGACCTTTACCTTCTGATAGCCCATTCCCCTCCTTTGATAGCTTCAACTGATATGAAGATCGTAGGGCTTGAGCTGAAAGGGATAGTAAAGGCCGTTCTGTCCAACTCTTTCATTTCAAATAGAAGATAACTGAGGCCTCTGGAGGCTAAGTGACTTGCCCCAAGTTCACATCCAAGGCAAGATTTGAACCAGGTCCTCAGAGCCTCTTTACAACTTCAACTTATCTTTCCTAGCTCTACTGTGTAAGAAGGAGCTGAAGTCCAGTCCTTCATCTATATACCAACCACAGATGTAAAATTATTCTGTTAACTAGTATTAGAGAATCTTGGATCTGAAAGGGACCCCATAGGCTATTTATTCTCCAAAGCCCTCATTTTACCTAAGTGGGAAACTGAGACCCCAAAAGGCAGAAGATATCTGCCCCATGGCCCCAACACATGGTCCTCTAACCCCAAGCCCAGCACACTGCCTCACTTCTGACTGGTCGTGTGACCCTCAAGGTAGGCCTATTATCTTGGATGAGTGAGATGACTGCATCTTCCAAAATGGCTAAACAGGAATTTCCAGGGTAGCCTTGGGGAGGAAACTGAGGAGAATAGCATGAAGCATTTCATGAGTGGTAGAGCTCTCATGTGGTGGTTCATGACATTATTATTGATAGTATTTTATAGTTTACAAAGCACTTCAACTTGTTCAGTCATTCAGTCGTGTCCAATTCTTCATAACCCCATGGACCTCAGCGGGCCAATACTGTCCATGCAGTTTTCTTGGCAAAGATACTGGAGTGGTTTGCCATTTCCTTCTCCAGTGGATTAAGGTGAATAGAGGTTAAGTGATTTGTCCAAGGTAACACAGCTAGTAAGTGAGGCCAGATTTGAGCTCAGGTCTTCCTGACTCTAGGCCCAGCACTATATCCACTGAGCCATCTAGCTGACCCTTTAATATATCTTATTTTGTTTAATCCTTACAATGACCCAAGAGGTAGATAGTGTGAAAGTGATAGCAATTTTACAAATAAGAAAACAAAGTCAGAGGAATTAAGAGACTGGTAATAGGCAGGATTGGGATTTGAATGCAACTGTTCCGCTTGGGAGTAGAGATTGCACCTTTCCTTTTCCTATCATCTCGCCAATTGTTCTCTTTAACACTTTTCAGTATGCCTTACTTCAGAGTATTAAGCACATGCTGTATGTAGAGGACTGGGAGGAGATACACAATTCAGATAAGATTTGGGATTTGAACCCAGGTCATCTGGCTCCAGAGCCAGTAACCTATTTTTTTGAAATTGTTTATTTTTAGTTTTAACATTCACTTCCATAAGATTTTGAGTTTCAAATTTTCTCCCCATCTCTACCCTCCCCCACCCCAAGACGGCATGCAATTTGATATAGATTCTACATATGCATTCATATTGAACCCATTTTCACATTAGTCATGTCATGTTCTAAAGAAGAATTAGAACTAATGGGAGAAACCACAAGAAAGAAAAAAAAAGAGGGAGAGAGAGCAAATAATATGCTTTGACCTGCATTCAGACTCCATAGTTCTTTTTCTGGATGTGGGCAGCATTTTCCATCATGAATCCTTTGGAGTTGTCTTGGATCCTTGCATTGCTGTGAAGAGATGAGTCTATCAAAGTTAATCATCACACACTGTGGCTGTTACTGTGAACAGTGTTCTGGTTCTGCTCGCTTCACTCAGCATCAGTTCATATAAGTCTTTCCAGGTTTTCTGAAGTCTGCTTGTTCATCATTTCTTATAGCCCAATAGTATTCCATTGCATTCACATACCACAACTTGTTCAGCCATTCCCAAACTGATGGGCATCCTTTCAATTTCCAATTCTTTGCCACCACAAAAAGAGCTACTATAAATATTTTTGTACATGTGGGTCCTTTTCCCATTGTATGATCCCTTTGGGACACAGACTTAGAAGTGGTGTTGCTCAAACGGTATGCACATTTTTATAGCCCTTTGGGCATAGTTCCGAATTACTCTCCAGAATGGTTGGATCAATTCACAACTCCACCAACAATGCATTAGTGTTGCAATTTTCCCACATCTTCTCCAGAATTTATCATTTTCCTATTTTGTCATGGTAGCCAATTTGCTAGATGTGATGTGGTACCTCAGAGCTATTTTGATTTGCATTTCTCTAATCAATCGTGATTTAGAGCATTTTTTCATGTGACTATAATTTCATCTAAAAGTTAACTTTGTATCATTTCACCATCTATCAGTTGGGAAATGACTCGTATTCTTATAAATTTGACTCAGGTCTCTATTTATTTTAGAAAAGAAGCCTTTATCAGAGACACTGGTTGTAAAATTCTTTCCCAGTTTTCTGCTTGTCTCCTAATCTTGGTTGCATTGGCTTTGTTTGTGTAAAAACTTTTCAATTTAATGTAATCAAAATTATCTATTTTGCATTTCATAATGTTCTCTATCTCTTGTTTGGTTATAAATTCTCCATTCTCCAAAACTCTGACAGTTAAACTATTCCTTGCTCTCCCAGTTTGCTTATAGTATCAGCCTTAATATCTAAATCATGTACCCATTTTGACTTTATTTTGGCATATGGTGTAAGATTTGGGTCTATGCCTAGTTTCTGACATGCTCTTTTCCAGTTTTCCCAGCAGTTTTTCTCAAATAGTGAGTTCTTATCCCAGAATCTGGGGTCTTTGGGTTTATCAAACAGTAAGATAACTATAGTCATTGACTACTATGTCTTATGTACCCAACCTGTTCCATTGATCGACCGCTCTATTTCTTAGCCAGTACCAAGTAGTTTTGATGATTGCTGCTTTATAATACAATTTAAGATCAGGTATGGCTAGGCCACCTTCCCTTGCATTTCTTTTCATTGGTTCTCTTGATATTCTGAATCTTTTATTCTTCCAGATGAATCTTGTTATTATTTTTTAAGCTCTATAAAATAATTTTTGGTAGTTTCATTGGTATGGCACTGAATACGTAAATTAATTTAGATAGAATTGTCATTTTTATTATATTAACTCAGCCTACCCATGAGCAACTGATGTTTTCCCAGTTATTTAGATCTGACTTTGTTTGTGTGAAAAGTGTTTTGTAATTGTGTTCATGTAGTTCCTGGTTTGTTTTAGCAGATAGACTCCTAAATATTTTGTAATGTCTACAGTAACTTTAAATGGAATTTCTCTTTCTATCTCTTGCTGTTGGGCTTTGTTGGTAATATATGGAAATGCCCGATGATTTATGTGGGTTTATTTTATAGCCTGCAACTTTGCTGAAGTTGTTTATTATTTCAAGTAGTTTTCTACTTGATTCAGAGCCAGTAGTCTTGCTGCTACTAGACCACACTGCTTCTGCTGTGAGTCTGGAAATCAGAAAAAAGATCAAAGTCGAAGGTACAGACAGGTTTGGGAGTTATTTGTGCTTTGCACTTGGTTAGTTAACACCAATCAGTGCTGAGTGTTGCATTGGAAGGGCCGTCAGGAGTCTAGCCTTAGCTCTACCTAACTGAATATGTAACCACGGGTAAATCATTGTCCCTGCTGAGGCTTCAGGTTCCTTGCCAACCAAATGGAGGATTGGGAATGATTGTATTCCAGGTCCTAACGCCTCTAATATTTGGGGGGAGGGTCTTAATCTACCATTGCCACAGGCTTGACAGACAGGGACCTATACTGGGTGGTCTGGCTGAGCACGAGAGATGTTAAGTGAGCTTGAAACCTCTGCGGGGGTCAGGAGTTATGTATGAATAGACAGGCCACAAAAGTGAAGAGATTCCAAATAGAGGAGTCCAGCCATAGGTTTAGTCACAAGCTAGGTGGCACAGCAGATAGAGAATTGGACCTAGAGTCAAAGTTCAAATCCTACCTTAGATACTTGTTAGCTGTGTGACCTTGGGTAAATCACTTAACCTGTTGGTCTCAGTTTCCTCAATTGTAAAATGCAGATAATAATAGCACCTACCTCTCAGAGCTGTTGTGAGAATAAAATGAGATAATGTTTGCAAAGTATTTAGCATAGTGCTTGGAACATAATAGGCACTAATAAAATGCTTGTTTTCCCTTCTTGTTACCCATTAGCAAAGCTTTCTGATGCTGAGATAGGGTTCTAAACCAGAGGTTCCCAAACTTATTTGACCTGTCTCCCCCTTTCAAAAAAATTACTCAGAGTCCCCCTGGAAATCTACTTTCTTTAACCTCTTCATGTTTTTTTTTTAATTTGGGTCATTTCAATAAAAATAAAATATTTTTTTTAAAAACTGACACATCTGAAATTTAATAATTTATTGTAAATTTTTGGGTTTTTCCTGCATTGAAATTTTGATGACGCAATATTGCATCAGCATCATATTGTATCATATTGTAAAGAAGTCATTACATGCACATATTCCTGCTGATGCATGCCGGACTTGCCAATAATGCACTACATGCTCACCTGCTGACACTTGCTTGTTAAGACCTGTCAGTGGACTTGACCACTGATAGGTTATAACTTGCATTTTGTGTGTTTATTTGGAAAATAATGTAATCACTACGACTTTAACTCTGTTACACAACAAATGAAACATGTACAAATGGTTTTTCAAAATTTTCTTATCTTCTCTTCTTTCCTTATACTTCCACTGCCCGCTTATTTTTATTCAATGCCCCCCAGTTGCACCTGAGGCTTCTACCACCCCCCTAAATGCACCTTCCTAGATCATTCCAGCATCCTCCAGGGGGCGGTATCACCCACTTTGGGAACTTCTGTAAGCCTTTTCACCAACCATTATCAAGTTGTCAGCCTAAGATTTTGATTAGTGGAGGAAGGTCACATATGTGACACCATATCCAGATGTGGTGGTTTCCCCAACCTCTCAAAAGCAAAGTCAGGGAAGCACGATCTCTGATAGTTCACCCAAGCTGGGAAAGTTTTGAGCAGAAGCTGGGGATGGATGCTAAATCTGTCACCTGAGGACCAGTGGAACTTCCTTGCAGAAAGGCTCACCACCAGAGACCTGGCTGTCCACTAGGGGATACATTTTGTGGCTCCAGCAACTCGTGAAGACCAACCAATAAGGGCTGGAGCTCTTCTGATCTGCTGGGTAGAAGGAACGACCAACTGCCATGACCAAATAATCGATGCGTTGAAAAGTGTGTTTCCATGTTAATACCTACTGAGGCTCACAGAACAAGAAAGCCAGCTCGTCCTGAGCTGAGGGTTGCAAGGAAGAAAAGGGAGGACCTACATTCTGTAGGGTCCCAGAAGCAGAATAGAAATCCTCTTGGCCATGAAGGTGTTGTCTCCCTTCCTGATGATTAACATTTTTTTTTTGTTTTTCCCTTGCCTTCTTTTCCAATAGGTTCTTCCCATAGAAAACAAGATGAAGAAGAAAGACCATTTCCTAGTCATCTTGTATGGAGGGATGACCATGATTATACTTCTCTACATCAGCCTGGCGTGCCTGGGCTACTTGAAGTTTGGAGCAGCCATACAAGCCAGCATAACCCTCAACCTGCCCAACTGCTGGTATGTTTATGGTTTGGGGAGGTGGAAATCCGTGCAGTTGGGAAGACTTGGGAAGGTACAGTTCTAATAGAGCAGGAAGAATACTCCTGGCTCTGCTACTAATTGAAAGTCACTCACTATCTGTTTTGCCTTGGGAAAGTCCTCTTTCTGTGCCTTTATTTCCTCATCTGTAAAATGAGGACAATATCCATTATTCTCTTCCTCAAAGGCTTTTAGGAAAAAACGAGATAATGTATACAGAGCCCTTTGTAAACTGTAATGGAAGTTATATTTTCCATCATAGACTGAGTACTGTATTCAGCACCGGGAAAAGATGTGAAGTCTAGAAAAGTTAATATTGTGATTATCATTCATTTTTATTTTTATTTAAATAAAGTAGGAGGATTATAGAGTTTTTTGTAGGCCGGGGCAAGAGTGAACTTGATACCTCCATGCTGATCTCATCATGAATTTAGTTCCTAGACTGAATCATAGAATATGATCACTGGAGTGTTTGATTATCTATCTAGTCAACTCTTCATTTTACTGAGGAGAAAACTCTGAGGCCCAGAGTGTCTTTCCCAAAGTCGTCCAATGAGTCAGGATTCCAACCTAAGCCTTTGGGTTCTAAATCTACTGTTTTTTTCTCTTCATGGTTCCTAACTAAATGTGTTGGATACCACTATTATTAAACCAAAAGCATGATACCTGAAACTATTCTGCACTAGAAAAGATATTTCAGTTGAGGATAACATACGACAGCATTGGCAGCAAGGAATGAGATAGAAGCCAAACTGGCTGCCTTGTGTGTTTGGGTCCTTTTTTGTCTTCTCTCTGATCCCTTCAGAGCTATGGCCAGTGATGCACCTAGAATTTCCTAGAATCTAGTCCCAGCTCTGGTCTCTACTGCCTGTATTACCTTAGACCAGTCACTTCCTCATTTTCTTCCTCTGTAAAATCAGAGTGGGGATAGAGGAGGTCTGACTAGATAATCTAAAGCAGGGATTCTGAATCCTTTTTTATGTCATAGATCCTTTTGGCAGTCTGATGAAGCCTATGGACTGCTTTTGGAATAGTTTCTAAAGGCATAAAATACATAAGATTAAAAAGGGAAGCAACTATTGAAATACAGTTATCAAAATATTTCAAAAACTGTGTCGCAGACCCCAGGTTTAGAAACCCTGGTCTAACACTCTACCGTTTTTAACTCACTTATGACAAGCCCATTTATATTACCATCATACACAGTTGTTACTTCTACTGATGGACATAGGGAGCTTCAAAACATACTCTTAGACCCAGCTCTGGGGACTAGCCCAAACTCAGTTGTGAACAATGACCACCAAACCTGATAATGTGACCAGCTCAGGGCCCATACCTACATCTCTACCATTATAGAAACTTATAGTCTTGCTCCTGACACTACCTGTGTCAAGTACAAGCCACTTAAACTTCTTGGGCCTCAGTTTTTTCATCTGTAAAATGAAGGGGATGAATTAAGTGGTGGTTTTCAATATCTCTTCCATCTAGAACTTCAGCTTAGAATCAAATACTGCTTCTGACACGAATGAGCTATGTGACACGAATGAGCTATGTGACAACACACAAGTCAGTCAGTCTCTCCAAATCCCAGGTTCCACGCCTATAATTTAGGGATGTTGATACCTGTAATACCTTTTCCAACCCTTTTCCACAGGCTTGTTGTTAGGCTTAAAGCAGATAATGCATGTAAGATGCTCTGCCAACTTAAAAGTATTAAATACAGGCCAGCTGTAGCTTTTGTCATCACTGACCACTATTGTGGTAATGCTGCACAATTTTCTGGCTCCTTGGTTCAGTGTGATCAAGTATTGGGTCCTAAGGAGGTAGGAGGTTTGGGAGAAGAGAATGTACTTGAGCTTCCTCAGCCGAACTGGCAACTTCTGACCCACCAGGTAGAGTTTAGCCTCTTCTTGCCGTGTGATCATTTGCATTTACTTTGGTGCTGAGAGCTAAGATCTTGGGTGGATTTTCCCACGTGAGATTATCAATCAGCTGGGTTCTGTCTACAGGTTATTTCACTCTGTGAAGCTGCTCTACTCTTTCGGAATCTTTATCACCTATGCCCTGCAATTCTACGTCCCAGCTGAGATCATCATCCCTTCTGCTGTCTCCCGTGTGCCAAAAAAGTGGAATTTGGTGGTAGACTTATCCGTCCGCACAGGCCTGGTCTGTGTGACATGTAAGTAGGAAGCAGGATGACTTAACTTTGATGTGATACTTGGGCACCCACGAACTAGGAGCATGGCATGGGGGCAGGAATTTCTAAGTTCACTGGCATGATTCAGCAAGCTTGTGACAGGGTAGACTAAAGAGAGCCTTGATCCAAGTGTCAGGGCACTCAGGTGTTATTCGTGGCCTTGCTACTCGTTATGACATCGGGTGGGTCACTTCACCTGTAGGGCAGCTTTACTGTTGTTGAACTGTTTTCAGTCACATCCAGTTCTTTGTGACCTCTTTTAGGGTTTTTCTTGGCAGAGATACTGGAGTGATTTGCCATTTCCTTCTCCAGCTCACTTTACAGATGAGGAAATTGAGGCCAATGAGGTTAAGTGACTTGCCCAAGGTCACACAGCTAGTAAGTGTCCGAGGCCAGATTTGAACTCGGAAGATGAATCTTCCTTTCTCCAGGCCCAGTGCTCTATCCGCTGTGCTAGGTGGCGCCATAGTGCACAGAGTGCATGACCTGGAGTCTGGAAGACCTGAGTTCAAATCTGACTTCGGGCAACACCTGTGTGACCTGTGTAAGTGACTTAACCTCAGCCTGCATCAGTTTCCTCAACTGTAAAATGGGAGCAATAATAGGACCCATCTCCCAGGTTTGTTGTGAGGATCAAATGAGGTGATATTGATAAAACACTTAGCACAGTACTTGGAAAATAATAGGCTCTTAATAAATGCTCCTTTCCTTTTCTCTCTTTTCTCAATGTCATTTGAGATTCAAGGATAATTAAAATCAGCTTCTAACAATTTTCCCTACTCTCTTATTCTGAGCCGTAATAGTCTTCATTTCTCCCAGCCATAAACATTCGGATCACTTTCCAAAAGAAAGAACTAGAGAATGTCCCCTCCCATAGCAGCTCTTGACTAAGAAGCAAAAGAGATTCACTGAGCTTGTTTTGATAACCCCCTGGTGTTTTGGTGGCACTTGTCAGTTTACAGAAGCTTTCAGGTACACTCTTCCACTAAAGTCCTCCCCCTAGGGCCTTATCTCAATGTGAAGAGGATCCTGGTTCTCCCAGATTAGGACAACAAAGTAGACCCCTGCAGCACCTGCCAAGCTGGACAGGTTTCTGGAGGGAACCCGTCCCTTCTCATCTGACCCAGGCTCCCCAGGCTGCTAATCCAGAAGCACAGGGAGATGGGTACCTTGGCCAAGGTCGCTCTTTGAAATGACTCTCCCTCAATGGAATGATGGTATAAGAGGAGAGCCCTATCTGGTCCAGGGTTGGAGGGAAAGAGAGAGCTCCCCTAAGGCTGGGGCCTATGATCTTCCTCTTCCTTAGAAAGGAGACTCTAGATTGAGCCCACCCAAAGGCAAGGGCCCAGGGAGCAAGAATTCCTACTCGCTGGCATTTTGAACAATTTTATTTCAGAAAATTCACCTTGTGTGTGTGCATGCATCCCCACACACACACACACACACACACATACCCCAACAGTCAAAAGATTTTGAGTATGGGCTCAGGGAAATACCAACCTAGCTAAATGTAGTAAGAGTGACCAGGTGTTGGATTTTTTTTTTCCAGTTACAGCAATTCATGAAAACCTCTACTTTCCCACTAAAGCAGAGAAAGATTGTGATTTGCATCTGTAGAGTTTATAATTACCCTGACAAAAGCACAGATCTTTTCAAGTACTGAAATGAGCTTCCATTAAAAAGTGTCCTATGCTGAACTACCTATTGGGAAAGAAACGTTACGATGCAACGTTGAGAGTCCAGGACTTTGAATCCAAGGACGCTGCTTTAAGGTTCAGCTTTGTCCCTCCTCTGCTAGGTGACTGTTTAAAGAATGTAACTTAAATTCCTTGACCCTTGAACAATGGACATTTCATCCATCCATTTCAGGCTGGTCATAAATGCAAGTGTCTTTTCCTTCACAGGTGCCTTGGCCATTCTGATCCCCAGGTTAGACCTGGTATTAGCCCTGGTGGGCTCCATGAGCAGCTCTGCCCTGGCTATGATCATCCCACCACTCCTGGAGATCGTCATCTATTACTCAGAGGGCATGAGCCCTATCACCATCGTTACGGACATCCTGATCAGTTTCCTGGGTTTCTCTGGGTCTGTGGTGGGCACCTACCAAGCACTCTATGAGCTGGCCCAGCCATCTGTTTCTCCCACCTTTTCCAACTTGACCAGCGCCTTTGTACAGTGATCTACTTCCAAGTGGAACACCTTCCCTGCCTCTCCTCACCCCTCCACTCCCTGTGGAAGGTGAACTCCCTGTTGTGAGGACTAAGTGAGAAAATTTATATAAATGTCATTTATTTTGGGGGCAGCTAGGTGGCATCATGGATAGAGTGCTGGACCTGGAGTCAGGAAGTCTCATCTTCCTGAGTTCAAATCTGCCCTCAGACACTTACTAGCTGTGTGACCCTGGGCGAGTCACTTAACTTCTGCCTGCCTCAGTTTCCTCTTCTGTAAAATGACCTGGAGAAGGAAATGGCAAAGCACTGCAGTATCTTTGTCAAGAAAACCCCAAATGGGGTCACAGAGTCAGACACGACTGAAAAGTGACTAAGCAACATTCATTTTTCTCCATTACTTTGGATCTTTCCTCTTTCCACCTTAACTTGGTGTACCCATTTGGACCCGTCTCATACCCTATCTAGATCACCAGGTCCTAGAGGACAAACCTTAGCAGGAAGGGTCTGACGAGGGCAAGCCCACATCCCAGTGTGCCGGTGACAAGTACAAGCCCATCCCTTCATGATCTGCACTACCTGTTGGCTTTCATTTTTGTGCTTCCCACAATGAGCACAGGACCACGAACTGGGAGTCAGAAAGACCTGGCTTCAAATCCTGCCTCTGGAACTTAGTAGCTTTGTGACTTCAGGCTTTCATTTCCTTCTCTATCTGCAAAATCAGGATAAAGCCCTACATCACAGGGCTGTGGTAAGGCTCAAATGCTATCACGTATGTAAAACCCTTTGCAAAACTTAATACAGTACATGTGTATAAACTGTCTCAGAATGCTTCCCCTCTTGCGGAGGGCGAAGGAGAAAAATTTGGAACTCAGAATCTGTCAGAACATGAATGTTGAAAATTGTCTTTAAATGTAATTAGAAAAAGTTAAACACTATAATAAAAAAAATCCTGATAGGGGGAAATGTGATAAATGTCAGTTATTATCATTATAGTAGGCATTTAATAATTTTAATAGGGCAACTACATGGTACAGTGATACAGTACTGGGCCTAGAGTTAGGAAGACCTGAGTACAAATTTGGCCTCGGACTAGCTGTGTGACCTTGGCATGTCACTTAACCCTATTTACCTCAGTTTCCTCATCTGTAAAGATGAGCTAGAGAAGGAAATGGCAAACTACTCCAGAATCTTTGCTAAGAAGACCCCCAAAAAGGGGTCGCTAAGAGTCAGACACGACCGAAAGGCATTTAATGAAGGCCTGTGGCATTGATTGAAATAAGGTCCCTTTCAGCTCCGCCAGTCTAGATCTACATACGTAGCCAGTACGAGGTGCTGTTAAATAAAGGAGACTGGAAGAAATGAGGCACAGGCTGGCTGAGTCTGCAGGTTTCCAAGTAATTACTTTTTATTCTGAAACTTGTCAGATTGCTCACACCACGTGGCAAGACTGTAGAGGATTAATGAGAAGCAGCAGCACATGGAACACTGGAGGTGAAAGGGTCCTCAATCTCCTGAGAGAGTTGACATCCCTTTCACAGTGAAGATCTTATCTTCATTAAAAACAAACAAACAAAAACCCCTCACACACCCTCACACACACAGGCACACACACACACACACAGGCGCACACACACACACACACACACACACACACACACACACACACACACACACACAGAACAGACAGAAGCTAGGAAAGCCCCTCCAGGGATCAGCCACAGCAGTGGAACAGCGAGCTCCACTGGGCATAGGGTGTTTTTTTGGTCCTTTGTCCGAAACAGCATACAAATTTGGGGCTTCCCTGAGGGGGGCAAGAATTTAAAGATAAGAGATACAAGAGTAGAAACAAGCTTCTAGAGCAAGGGGGTAGTGTGCCTTGAGGGAGGTAGCGGGGGTCCTACTAAGCAGAAGCAGAAGAAACAGCCCAATGTTAGAGCAATGGGACAGAAATAACAGTGGAGAGCATTTTCTTCAGTTTATGTTTTGTGGGGTGAGGGGGAGGGAGGGCCTGGGTGTGTGTGATGGTTTCTGAATTTACAGTCTCTGCTTTTCTTTGTCTTTCTTTTTCTGTGCTTTTGTTTTGACAAATTATTGTTCAATTGAAGTACGTCTGGATTTTTTTTTTTTGCTTTCCTTTACACTGGTTTCTCCTTCTCTGGGGAAGACCCCAGGAAATCTCCACCCAGGACCATTCCACTACTTTCTTAAATTCACCACCATTTCCAACATCCTCTGCTCATCCCCTTCCTCTCCCTCGCCCATGGGCCAGGGGCTGATGCCCTGGAGTTAAAAGAACTGCAGAACCTGACTGTGAGTTATTCGGTTTTAAAAATTAGAGTGTGGATCTGAACCAAAAAGGAGGGCCGCCACGTAGGGTGGATCAAAGTGGATTGGAATTGCTCCCCGTACACCATGGAATCAGTAAGCATTGCTGCAGAAGAAAGAAGAAGAAGAAGAAGACTAGCAGAAGTAATTGAGTGAGTGAGCGGCCCTCAGATAGGGTAGGTTAGACAGCCAGAAAGTCACGGCTTCATTTTCCGTTTGGTTTTTAGCACCGTTAATACACACATCTTAGACCTATATTAGCATCTCATTCCCAGGGAGAAAGAACAAACCAACCACACACATTAATTATAAAAGAAAATAGGAAGTCGGGAGGTAAGGAAAGAAAACTTGGGCCACCAGGAAAGAGGCTTCTGGCTTAGATCACCAGGTCCTTGTCGATATCCTCTGCAAAGACAGAAAAAAAGACAGACAGAGTTACGGACAAAAACTGGCATTGATGTGGTCCCTTTCTTTCCAAGAACATGTCTGGGGTTAAGATGAGCCAGGTAAGCTAAAAAAACTTTCCAGTGCATTGAATCTGAAGTTAGGCCCCCAGGTTCATACCCCAGCTCTGCCATTTACTACCTGTGTGACCTTAGGCAAGTTGCTTGACCTTTTAGGGGCTCACTTTCTTTACCTGCATAATGGGAGGCACTAGACCACCTCTAAGGCCATTCCAGCAGTAAATCTATGATCCCAGTATTTTAAATTGGGAGAAAAAAATCCAAGAGAGTTTCAGAGATCAGCCCAAGGTTACAGTAGAAGGCAGGGAGGAGTGCAGACTCAATGGCCTGGGAACACAACGGTACCCACTGCGCAGCTATCTCACAGATTGAGGTTCAGGAGGAAGGTCTGTAGTGTTTTGAATGATTTCTCAGAAAGCTTCCTCAGTGCTCAATGAACAGTCATGGAATGAGGTGTTTCAGGCTCTCTTGGCACTTGGGAAAGCTTCTATGCCCTTCCACCTGATGTGGTGCTTGGGTGCTTGTGCTTGTACTTGGACCGCAATTACTCCGTGGTCTCAGAAACACTGTCTCTGACAACCACTCCCCAGCCCAAGGACACTGGGCCTAGCAGTTATTCATGCATGGGCCATAGCATAACCCTTATCTCTCTCCCTGGTGCAGCTACACAAAGCTGTGTGAGAGAGTGCTGGGCTGCTCAGGCCCCAGCCCTCAGGTCATGTCTCTGGAAGCCTCCCAGTTCTTTAGTAAGTTCCTGTCTTGTGAGAAAGCTTTCCCTTGTTGCAGAATATTCTCTCACCAAGACAGAGGGAGAGGGGTGCCTTGCCCAGCCCAAGGAGTTTTGTCCTTGGCCAGCCCAAGGACTCTTCTTCCTGCCAGACTCCAAAGATCCATACCTCTGTCATCTCCCTCTCTGTCCGGTATACTCCCTGTACTTTCTCATCCATAGCTCCCAAAGACACCTGCACCTTTGGATTACCTCATAAATGTCCCTGGCATTTCCCGTGCTCATTTCCATATAAACCCTAGCTCCATCCTCAGTCTCTCACAGGATCTTTAAGAATCCTTGCCCACTGAAAAGCGTAACAATAAATCTTTGCCACCTTGACTTAAAGAATGCTTGAGTCTGTGAATTCATTCCAGACAATCCTGTGTACTTCAGTCTTTGAGGGGTCACAACCTCTCAACCTCTCACACCGCAACACACCTACCCCAAAAGGCTGTTATAATGTAGGAAATTCTAAAGTAGAAAGTTAGGGCTGTTCATCTAGTTCAACACCTTCCTTTTAAAGATGAGGAAACAGGTGCAGGTGAGGAAAGTGGCTTGCTCAAGGTCACACCAAGTTAAGGGCAAAAACAGGAAGAGAACACGGGTCTCCTGACCTCCAAACCAAAGCTTTTTCCCCTAAACTATTTCTGCCTCAAGGCAGGTTTTCCATGGAGTGTGGGATGCAACCACCCTCCTCTTCATCCTCAGAGGTTTCCCCAGGTGTGGAAGGTGAGCCAGGGGAAGTCAAGCCTGGTCTGAGGCAGCCTCTATGATGGGTGTGGGGGAAAGGGGCTGGTGGCCTAGTGTCACTCACGATCCTTGATGCCAAAACAGCCGGCCCATTCATCCAGGGCAATGTACTTGTCATTGTCCAGGTCACAGGCTTCAAAGAAGCGAGTGGTACAATGCTCCATGGGAATGAGCAGGGCCCGAAGTGGGGCCAGTTCAGTGTGGGAGAGGAACCTAGGAGGGAATTGGAAAGGAGAGAAGAGTCAGATGCTGAGGTTCTTTGACCTCAGAAAGGGGGACAAGTGGCAATTTAAGCAAGAAGGTGACTTGTCCGTTAAAGCAGAAAATCATTTGTTTCCCGTATCCTGAGCCATATCACTAGGCTTCACTCCCAGTCTCCCATGCTGTACATCCAAGTCGTCCAGCTCCACTCCCTTGGAGAATACAGGTAACTGCACTCCACAGAGTGTTCAGAAGTTGCACTTCAGCCAGCAGTTCCTCAGCTTGGGGCAGTGGGATTTGGGGATGACTAGAGAACTCTGACCCCAGCCAAACTAAGAAATGAATTCTAGAAAGCCCTAAGGGGAAGGGAACTAAGACCTGAAAACAAAGGAAGCCAGAGCTGGAAGGACATTTTAATGAACCCCTTTATTTTACAAAGCAGGAAACTGAAGCCCAGAGAGAAGGGAAAATGATGCTTCCCAACTCCAAATCCAGGGCTCCTTCCACTGCACTACACTGTCTCTGGTCTGCTATGGATGAGCAACTTACCCATCAATGGGGTGCTGGTCCAGCTGGCCGAACTGCCAGTGCACGGGGAAGATGTACATTTGGTAGTTCTTCTCAAAGTCCCGGGCCAGCAGCTCTACTGGGTGGTCACCAGCTTCCAGGCGCTTCTCGTTCTCATGGATCTTCTTGACCTGTGGAAGCAGGGCTGGGCAGAGGCCTGGGGCTCAGCTGTGGGTATGGTAAGGACTATTATCCCCACTTTACAAATGAGGAAACTGAGGTGAGGTGAATCACTCATGGTCACGTATCAGATTTGAACCCAGCTCTCTCTTGATTCTAGGCCCAGTGTTCTTTTCCCTGATGTTGTTTTCTCTCCAAAGAAGTGAGATGGTTAGGAAGCCTCCCTCTACCCTCCTTCAGAAAGCCAGGGGGACTATCCTGTGTGTAGGGGTGGGGTTGGGGGGGTGTCCCTGGGTTCCAGTGTGGAGAGGGCATCAGTATGAAGAGGCCATTCCCTTGCACATGCACTGAAGTCTAAGCAGAGTGCACTGGAAGCTGGGGCATTTTCATGCCCTCCCATGCCCACGTTCTGGGGGCTCACTCACTTTGAGTTTCTGCTTCTCAGTCAGCAGGTTGTTGTCCTCGTCACGCTCATAAAGGGTGACCAACACGTTCTTCAGCCAGTCACGCATGCGCAGGGGAAACTCGCTCAGCTCAGAGTCCAGGCATGGGGCAATGTCTAGAGTCCAAAAGCAGGGCTGTCAGTCCAAAGCCCAAATCTCCTCAGGTTGCCAGGGATCGTAGATTTCTTGAACACCAGACTCTAGAGCTTCGGTTGCCCTCTTCCATGGCTAACTGGCCCTACATGCCTTGGGCAAGGAGTTTCCTCCTCTATTCAATCTGCTCTAACTCAGAGGATCCCAAAGGTAAAATTACTTAAAAAAAAAAAACAACCCAGAAAGTCCCATCCAAAAGCCCTCTCCTAAAGTCTCCACTGAACTTCCCAGAGGAGAATGGTTGGCCCCTAGTATGTAGTCTGTATGCTGTGCATGAAAAAGCAGACAGCAGGTATGGTCTTGGCTATAGGTGCACCAGCTAGGAAACTTAGTGACTTCTGTGCGTGAAACAGGGAGAGAAGACTGAAGTTAGGAGGTGGGAGCTAGAGGGACACACTTCTGCAGTGGGATCAGAAGAACCTGCGCACCATCCGGACTCTCTGTGTGTTATAAAAGAACCCAATGCCACTCTGCATTGGTCCTGGGGGTTAGTTCCCTACTGTAGATCTCGGCCTTGTAGCCATAGAATCACAGAACCCCAAAATCCCAGTGCTAGGAAGGACCTCAGAGGTCCCTGAACACAAGAACACATGAATCTTTTCTTTTTTTTTTTCCTTTTTAGGCAGTTGGGGTTAAATGACTTGCCCAGGGTCACACAGCTCTAAGTGTCAAGTGTTTGGTCTCAGGTCCTCCTGACTTCAGGGCCAGTCCTCCATCCACTGCGACACCTAGCTGCCCCCACATGAATCTTTTCTGCAGTGTTCTCTGCCACCCAAAGAAGTTATCCAGTCTCTGCTGAGAACCCCCAGTGAAAGGGGCTCGCTGCCAATCAAGGTAGTGGCCCACCTTTGAGGAGCTCTAATTTTGGGGAGTTTCACTTTACATTAAACTTATCCCTTCTCCATAGGCTGGCCCTTCCAATACTGGAAGAGAGCCACTGTGTCTCCTACATAGCTTTTCTTCTCCAAGTCACCCATTCCCTTGATGGGGATGATTCCCATAACATGGTTTCCAGTCTCCTCCTTATGGTCAGGCTCTGGTCAGACTCCATTGCTGGTGCCCAGAAGTGGACATAAACCTCTAGATAGCGTCAACCAAGGCAAAGCAGAACATCAGCTCCCTCCCCCTGGACACTCCACTGCTATTAGCACTTCTAAGAACTTGTTAGCTTCTTTTTTTTTCTTTTCCCCGGCTGCCAAGTCACACTGCTGATTTAGAGGCAGCCTGCAGTCACCAAAACTTCTTGGGCCTTTTCACACAGACCTGGACAAGCTTCCCTGTTCTGTGCATTTGTGCCAAGTTGGATGGAAATTAAATTCTCTTGTTCATCCCTTACCATGGACCAGAAGAGGAATTCTTGATGTTTTTTGTGTTACAGACTCCTCTAGCAATCAGGGGAAATCCATGGTCCCCTTCTAACAGTAATTTTTAAATGCATAAAATACAATACATAGGATTACAGAGGAAATACAGTGAAATATAATCATCAAAATATTAAAAAACCAACAGCAGCAAGTTCATGGAGTCTAGGTTAAGGATCCCTAGAACAGGGAGCTGGCCCTTGGGGGAGCTCCCTTATGGCAGCTCTTCCCCACAGCAGATGTTTTCTTAGCTCGCACCCTGGTTTTAGTTTCTAATAGTAGAAAATGATAAATATACACTGATAAAACTGGTAGTTGGGAGAGGGGGACACATTATTGTCCAGTTATCTGAAGGACTCATTTCTGAAAGGGATTATGTTGGTTCTGGTTGGACCCAGAGGAAAAAAAAAGAAGGAAAATTTAGCCACAATAGGAGGGAAAAACTTCCATACAGCTGAAGCAATTGAAAAAGAGGAATAGACTGCCTCATGAGAGATCCTTAAGGAGAGATTGGACGGGCATTTGTGAGGGATACATACTGCAGAGGAGAATTAATAATAACTTCCAAATACAAAGCACTTTAAGGCTGAAAGCCTTTTCCCTGCAATGTAGGAAGAGCAAATGTGACAATGGAGAGATAAGGTTATCTTTGGGGGGTGGGGCAGAGGTGCTGTCTGGCCTTCTCCCAACTGGAGGCCCCTGGCTCTGCTCTGGATTCACACTTGCTGACCAAATTGAGTCCTGGGGGTGTCTGAAGAGAGAGATCAGGTTCTGAAACTCTTTGGCTCTTTACACATCCACCTCAGGACCCTGGGAAGAATCACCTAAAACTTAGTTTTGGCTCCTGTGTGTCTAGGGCCTTTCCCCGAACAGCAGAGTGGAAAGGCACTTGGCATACAAAGAAAATCAGGTTAAAGTACAGCTATTCATTTTCTTCACAAGAAAGAACTGATTAACATAAGAGACTTACCTGTGCTCATCAACAAAGACTTAAGAAAGCAGTAATAATTAACTACTATTAATACTGTCCCAGGATGCTGAGACTTCAAATGTCAAAACATGGAGCAGATTGTGGGACTGCTAAATCAACATTTCACATACTACCTTGTATCTGCATATCTAAGCAACACCGTCAAGGTCCATGTCTTCTGGCAAGCCCAGCCAGGTTTGGGTTCATCCTTTTATTGGAGATCATGTCCAAGAAATACTAAAGTGTTGGCCCGGGATTGTTATCTGAAGTGCAGCTGGCACTGACTGAGAATCCTGGCACTCTCAACCTTTCAAACTCAAAAGTCTGCCTTCGAGCTTGAAAACATTCACCTTAGAATCATGCTCAGTCACCTATATTCAGGAAAAAAACAAGAAATAGCCTAAGACCAGGCTAAGGTTCACCTAGGCAGGTCATGAGCCTTCTGCCATGTACTTTGCAGCTGTCATGGGGCTAGGGTGGGAGATAGAGTCCTGTCTCTATCCCCCAGATAGAGGGAAGAGGGCAGAAGGGGAGAGGGAAAGGAAAGAGAAAGAAAGACCAGAGAGAAGAGTGGGGGGAGAAAGAAAGGGGAGTGGGAAGAGGGAGAGGGGAAGAGAGAGAGAGGACGAGGGAAGAGAGAAAAGGATAGGGGAGAGAGAAGGAAGAAGGGAGGGGGAAGGGAAGGGAAAAGGGAAAGGGAGGGGAGGAGAGGAAGGAGAGAGAAATAGTGATAGACAGAGAGAAGCCAGAGAGTAAGAAGGGGGGAGTAGGGGGAGGAAGAGGGCAAGAGAGAGAAGGAGGGAAGAGATAAAAGGGTAGGGGAGACAGAAAGGAGAAAGGAGGAAGGGGGAAAAGGGAGGAGAGGGGAGAGAGAGCGAGCAGAGAGCAGTTACTCCTTTTAATATGTACATACTAGATTTGCATTTCATGTGCAATCTTTTTTTAATTATACAATGTTATGGAAATGCATGTTTGGTTCCATAAATTTAAAATGAAATAAATTTGTCTGAAAAAAAAAAAAGATCCACTGAGTGGCCGCTCTGATGGAGCTTTGACATAGCCTCCCCCACTTCAGCCATCATGGGACAGGGATCAAGGGACAGCTCCTGGTTTGTTTTATCTTTCCAAAGTGACAAGCGCTTCAGCGTTGAATCATAGATGTCACTGGAAGTTACTTGTCCTGCGGGCCCATCCCCATGCATATTCCATGAGCTGTACTCCAATTCAGCCTCCATTATACTAGTACTATTCTCTTTAGTTTGGAAATGAGGTTCTGAAAGATTGTTATTTGAGCACAGTCACGCAAGTAATAGGTGCAATTTAAGTGTCCCAACTCCAACTCCAGAACTTGATCCACTATACCAAGCTCAGGTTGGGTGTGGTGTAGATGCCCACTAAGGTACCTGATAGCTCTGAGGTTCTATGATTATAGAAACAAGAATTGAAGTGCCCAAGAGAAGTATAAAGTGTTATGAGACCAGACGTGGAACCAAGAGGGAAGAGATGCTTCATTGAAGAGGGGCCATTTGAGATGGATTTTAAGGGATGTCAGCAGAATTCATGATATCTGGAAATGGGTGGGGATAGTGACTAGGTATTTAATTTAAAGTAAAGGAAGAAACCACTGAGCAGATGAGATAGGAAGTCAATCCAATTTCCAAAGAAGAGAAAAATAGATGTGGAGACTTCATCCCAGGCTTTACTGGAAACAAAATATGTTATGTCCCTAACTTTCTTTTATCCACCAACCTCGTAACCTAATCAAAGGGAGGCAGAGAAGTTCAGGACATAGTCTGTACCCTCCAGGAGTTTATAGTTCAATTTGGTGATGGTGGTGGTGGTGGAAATAGAATATATGTGTAATTAGAGATTGAGAGTCCATGTAGTATGGGAAATAGAGGGCTGGCCTTGGAGTCAGTAACACATGAGCTCTGCCTCTGACATTTACTAGCAGTGAGTATGAGATAACAGCTTGGGGCAACTCTAGAAGCTGATATTTTAGGGACAAGATCTGTGACACCAAGGTTTCATTCTGAGATTTTCCCCATGTTGATGAACTTAAACATCCAGAGAATTACTTCTCTTTCCTTCTTTTTGCCTTCCCCTATGCCCAACAAGGAAGAATAAGCTAAATTCCAAAAGGTGGTATAGATGGCAGGTACTAACTATAAGATTTCAAAGACAGAGAAAATGGTTAAGGATGGGAGTGGTCAAAGAATGCTTCATTGAGGAGGGGAGGTGGAAGCTGAGTCCCAGAGGATGAGTGGTATTTGAATTGGCACAAAGTTTAGGCAAAGATCATTCCAGGCACAAAGACAACAGAAGCAAAAGCTGGGAGTAGAGGCTTAGCATGCTATGTTCAAACTTGCTAAGGTCAGCCCAGCTGCAATTGAGAGTTCATGTTGAGGAATGGTGGGTGAGAGGCAGCATGGTCTGGACTTTAGAGTGAGGAGACCTGAGTTTTAGGTCCAACTCTGTTGTTAATACATGACAAAGTGATCCTGGGTAAGTCACTTTCCTTCACTCTTTCCTCTCCTAAAAAATAATTAAGATGTTTTATGCTCTCATTTGCCTTTCACTGGCCGATAATCTCCTGTGTGTTATCTCTCTTTTTAAGAATGAAAACTTGGGGACAGCTAGGTGGCGCAGTAGATA